GATCTTCCATAGAGTTGTTTTCTGCGAGAGTTCCGTTTCCTGTCTACCTGAGGGCGAGGTCATGATTTGGGCCCCATTTGTTCTTTGACATATTCGTTCATGAGTTTTTGCGCACACGCAGATCTCATCCTAGGGAGCCTTCGGACGGGGTGCGGCGGCGACAGTGATGAGACTGTTGGAAGAGCCGTCTTAGGCCTGACGGCCGATGCCGTTTTTCCATTGGGACTTCTGTCTGAGTTGCTTGCTGCGAGAGCTCCGCTGCTGGCTGGTACGGTGGCGCCAATTCGTCTCCAATCGATGCGCGTCTTGTTCCTCTTGTCAGCGGTTTGACGCCACCTTTCGAGAGCGTGCAGATGTGGTGCCGATCAGCGTGGAGACGGGAAATGGCGACGGCGCTGATGACACAGTTGGAAGAGCCGTCTTAGGCCCAGCGGCCCAGCGGGCTCCGTTGCCAGCTTTCTTTGATGACTTCCATTCGATGTGGTTTGCGCGCGTCTTTTTTCGCGAGTAAAGGGCAGTATGCCGCATCCGCGGAAACGTGCAGACGCGATGCCGGTGAGCATGAAAGCCGGGGAGTGCCGGTGAGCATTGAGACGGAAGAGCCGTTTTAGGCCTGACGGCCGATGCCGGTTTTCCATCGGGATTTCTGTCTGCGTTGTTTGCATCGGGTGCTCTGGTGCTGGTCTGTCGGCTCTTGCAGATGGATGTCTTCCTCGAACACAATCTGAGTGTATGCGTCTCAGGTGTAGCCGCAGTCTTGCCATCCTGAGCGTTCAGATGTGGTGTGTCGTCGACGCTGATCTCACACTTTGCAGAGCCGTCTTAGGCCTGACGGCCGCAGTGGTTTTTCCATTTGTTTTTCTGGTCGAGGCGCCTGCTGGAGAGCTCCGCTGCCAGCTACCTGACGACGAGGCAATGCTTATTGGGTTCTGTCCAGCTGCCTGCTGCAAGTCCCGCCACCGTGCCAGCCCAGCATTGATGGGTGGCGACAACTCGAGGGTACGCTGATGATGTTGTTGATGATGCTGCTGCTGAGGATGATGCTGCTGATGATGATGATGATGCTGCTGAATAATCAGATGTTAATGGCGGTGGTGGCGGTGGTGATGGTGATGAGGGTGATGCTGCTGATGCTGATGCTAGTGCTTATGATGATGGTGATGACGATGATGGTGATGATGATGATGATGCTGTTGCTGCTGATGATGATGCTAATGATGATGATGACGATGCTGGTAATGGTGATGATGTTGGTAATGATGCTGATGATGATGATGGTGATGACGATGCTAGTGATGCTAGTGTTGGTGGTGGTGGTGATGCTGCTACTGATGCTGCTGCTGATGATGATGGTGCTGACGATGCTGCCGATGATGATGCTGATGATGAGTAATGACGATACTGTTGATGATGTTGCTGACGATGCTGCTGATGCTGATGCTGCTGCTGCTGATGATGCTGCTGCTGCTGATGATGATGATGATGATGATGATGATGGTGATAATGCTGATGATGTCGACGATGTTGCGACAGCTGGTCATAACGGAGATGAGTAGGACGAGAAGGAAGAGGAGGAGGAACAGGAAGAGGAAGAGGAAGGCCGTCACACGTGACACATGTTCGTCTTCATTATTGGAGGAGCTCTCATGGATGTCGTGTTGGCCGTGTTTGGGCTGTCTTGGCTTCCTGTGAGGCAGTCTGAGGGGTTCCTCGGGGCCCTCTTGGGCCGTCTCGGAGCCTTCTTACGCCGTCTTGGGGCACTCTTGGGCCGTCCTGAGGCCCTCTGGGCCCCGTTGTGGGTGCTTCGGGGCTGTCGTGGGGCCGTCCTGGGCTGTCGAAAGGCCTTTTTAACGCCGTCTTGATTTCCCACGGAAGGCCCTCTTGGGCCTGGACCATCGTGGGACCTGTTTGGCCATTTTGTGGCTCTCTTAGGGGCCTCTCGGGCAGTCTTGCGGCCGTCGTGGAGGCGTCTTGGGCCTTCTTGAGCTGACGGAAGCCAGAAGAAACGAGATTCCGAAACTCATGTGGACAACCGGGGGACATCCATGATGCGGGCTTCTCATGATCCTGTTGGAGATCCTCTTGTGGCCCTTTCGGGCCCTCTTGTCCGTCTTAATCTTGACCTGACGGAAGCCCGACACGCACGGCGAGATTGTGAGCTGCATGCGGGCGATCAAAGAAATTCAAAGATGTTGGTTTCTCCTTGCCCCTGTTGGAGGTTTCTTTGTGGCTCTTTCGGGCCCTCTTCAAGGCACCTTGGGCCGTGTTGAGGCCATCTTTGGCCGCCTTGGGGCCATCTTGGGCCGTCTTCGAGGCATCTTGGGCCATCTTGGTGTCCTTGGTTGCCTGCATGGGCCGTCGTGGAAGCTCGGGACTCGGACCCATCGCTTTTACCCATGGGTCGTGGCCTCGGGAGCGCGGGTCCATCGTATTCTGATGAGGGATCTTGGCCTCGGGAGGGGGGGGGCAGTGTATGTAAGTAGACGCGGGATGGTGGGGGTCCCTTACAGAAACCCTACCAGGCAGCCCTTGGCATTCGTCCACGCCTCAACCTGCACAAGGTGCGGTGGCCCATGTCTCATTTCTCAGGCAGGTTTGGTGATGCTTTCTTTCAAGTGCGCTGGCATCATCCTGAGTAGCGCTCGGATTAAGTGTGGCGACGACGTAGATAATACACATGGAAGAGCCATCTCAGGCCTGACGGCCGGTGTTTTGTTTGTTTTGTTGTTTTGTCAATTGGGTCGTATGTTTCAGTCACTTGTTGCGAGCGCTCCGTTGCCAGTCTTCCTGGCGACAGGGAATTCAATGTTGTACATCCCATGCTTGTTTGACAGGTATGGTGAGGCTTTCTTGCAAACACGCAGACATCATGTTAAGGAGCGTCCAGTTTGGGTGTGGTGGTGACACTGATGACACAGGTGGAAGAGCCGTCCTAGACCTGACGGCCGATGCCGCATTTTCCATTTGGACCCCTGTCCGAATCATCTGCTGCAAGAGTTTCGCTGCCAGTCTTCTTGACGACGACGAGTTTCATGTTTTACATCCCACGTGTGCTTGACAGGTTCGGTGGGGTTTTTTTGTAATTGCGAAGACATCATCCTGAGGACCGTTCGGATGGGCTGTCGCGGTAACACGGATGACACACTTGGAAGAGCCGTCTTAGGTTTACCGTTCGATGCCGTTCGTCCATTTTTATTTTTGTCTGAGTTATTTTCTTCGAGTTTTGTTACAAGACGCTGATGTTTGAGCGTGTCTTGGTTTGCGACCGAAGCTCGGGAATACGCCTCATGAGTGAGAGTGTGCAGACATGATGTTGATAAGCGTTTGTGACATGAAGTGGCGACGACGCCGATGAAACAGTCGGAAGAGCCGTCTTAGGCCAGACTGCCGATGCCGTTGTTCCATTCGGACTTTTGTCTGAGTTGTCTCTTTCGATATCCTTGTCGATGTCGTCCCTTCGACAATCATCAACAGGGAGCTGGGTCACACTACCGCGCTGTGTCTGCCCGCTGGGGGCTTGATCCTAGCCGGCATCTGCCCCTGGGCCCAGTTGGCCTTTTCGCTCTCTGTCGGCATGCTCCGTTCGATGGTGTGCGCACGTACGTTTCCTTCCTGCGCCTTCAGCGCAGGAGGGCTGTATCACCGTGATCTCCGCGAGAACAGAGCATGCGCGAGTTCCGAGTCCGAGCAGGGGCGGATCTGCGGACACTTCTTTGCCCGCGCTCGCGGTTCGACTTTTTCAATTCCGCGACGCGGCTTCGAGACCTTCTGCGCGCCGCCCCTTCATTTTATCCTCTTGACGGCGCGGCCGACCCCGAAACGTTTTTCGGCACTCGAGTTGCAGGAAGCCGCCCGGGGAATCATTGGATGTCAGGCGGGAAATGTACGCCCCCCCCCCGCCAGAACTCGAGTTTTTTTCCGTCGGCGGCGAGGCAGAAGCAGTCTGCACCAGCGTGGGGCTAATCGGGGCAACCAATGGGCAAATTGTCCGGCGTGGAAGAGGGAGAGACGAAGACGAGGGCGGCCGCGCGAGGGAAGGAGGGGGAGAACCCCAGCAACAACGGAGTGCCTTTACAATTTCTTGCGCACGGGGGGCGGCATCCGAGTGGTTCGGGACATGGTTGACTACTGTGCCGCCACACGAGTCCCCTCGCGGTTCGCCAGGTCGGCTGTGGCTCTCTTCAGCCATAGTTGCCAGCTGATTCTGAAATGGGACAGAGTGGACACACCAGCTTTCTTTGTTAGTTGCTTCTAAGCCGCTCGCCTGTTTCGCGCATGTGGATTTTAGCAAGGAAAGCATTTCTTATGAAGTGGTGCCCTGCGCCTCTGCGGGAACGGTCTGCTTTAGCGTCGCAGGCGCGGTCAATCAATCGCTGTGGTCGCGAAACAGCAGTGCACCTTGGTAGCGGGTTAGCTCTGCCGTCTTCCCCGCCCACTCCGGGCGGGGCCGAAATGGTAAGGTAGGCTGACTTGCGTGTCCGTTCAAACCGGTTTGTGTGCGTCTTGAAGATGGGTATGTCTCATCCGTGAAAGCGTGCAGATGCGATTTGGATGAGCGTCGAGAAGGGGAGTTGCGGCGACGCTGTTTGCACAGTTGGAACCGTCTGAGGCTGGACGTCCGATGTTTTGTTTTAGTGTTCTGTTTTTTTCCATTCGGACTTCTGTCTGAGTTGCCTCCTTCGATAGCCCGGGCGCTGGTCGGTAGGCCCTTGCGGATGTCTTGGTGTCGGCGCAGTGGCTGTTATAATTGTTGTTTTTTGTCTTGCGCCATGCCGCCTTTCTAATGCAAGCATGTGAAGGCATGGCCAAGCACCGACGATGGCCAGCTCCTCCTCCTCCTCCTCCTCCTCCTTCTCCTCCTCCTCCCTCCTTCTCCTCCTCCTCCCCCTTCTCATCCTCCTCCTCCTCCTCCTCGTACCTGTGCAGTGTCCTCAGCTCCCTTCGAGGTCTCTGGGAGGCGCCCCGCGCGGCCGGCACGCCGATCGAGGCCGCCGCCCGAGGTACTTCGTGCTGGAGTACTGCCCGGGCGGGGAGCTCTTCTTCCACCTTAGCCGCGCAGGCGCCCCTCGCGGCGCCTCCTCCCTCGTCCTCCTCCTCCTCGTCCTCCTCCTCCTCGTCCTCCTCCTCCTCCTCCTCCTCCTCCTCCTCCTCCTCCTCCTCCTCCTCCTCCCCCTGCTGTCACGTCCTCCTCCTCATCTTTCTCGTCGCACTCCTCCTCCTCCTCCTCCTCCTCCTCCTCCTCCTCCTCCTCCTCCTCCTCCTCCTCCTCCTCCTCCTCCTCCCCCTGGGGTGGAGGAGGGAGGGCGCTCGGAGGAGCGCCAGCCGAGGCAGCGCGGCGGCCAGGCCCTTCCCGGCGGTTTTGCGATCCTTTCTCTGGGCCGCCTGTGGAGGCTTCTCGTCGCCACGGCCGGAGCCGCGCCGAAGGACGCGCAGCAGCGCAGCAGCGCAGCAGAGGAGGGTTCAGGACCCGCTCCAGTGCGGTGCCTTTTCTTGAGCCGCCGCGTGTCTTGGGTACGGGGTCGGAGCACATGGGGTCGGAGGATCGCGCCGCATCGCCGATGCCTCGCCGATGCGGCTCGATGTGCAGCCCCATTTGCCTCGCGTCGACGTCGCCGATGCATCGCCGACGTCGACGAGGCATCGCTGGTGCATCACCGATGCATTACAGATGTATCGGCGATGCGGCGCGATCCTCCGACCGCATCCACTCCGACCCCATCCAGGAGGCCTCTAATTGCGTTGTCTTTTTTTGAGCCGCCGCGTGTCTTGGGCACGGCCGCAGGACACGCGTGGGATCAGACACGCCGCGCCAAGATCTACACGGCCTGAGCGGGTCCGAGGAGGGATGAGGACACTTGTCGGTGACGTTGTTTTCCAGCTGCACGGCGAAAGCCGTGTAAAAGGACCCGTTGCATCCTAGAAGGAGCAGGCGTTTAGCGGGAATTCGAAGTGTAGTGTTTTCAGAAATCATGACGGAACGAGTGGGGGCGGAAGTTGCACGTAGTTTTTGTTCATTCCGAGCAGCGTGTCGGTGTCGCCGAGGACGTTGTCCACTTGCTGCAGACATCGCCTGCCTAACAGCGGTCGCTGTTTGTTTTTTTCCGACAGCATTCACTGCTGCTCATTGTCCTCATTTTCTTGTCCCCATTTCGGGTGTACCAATACATTCGGCATTCGGTCAAACATGGCGCAACGCATGCCACAATGGCGCACCCACGGAGGCAACGGCAAACAGCTCAGCTTGCGGTGTGCCTTGCGCAACCTATGGTGGCACCTACGGCGAAACCCAGGACGCAAATCATGGTGCAACGTTACACCCACCGATGCAACCTTCGATTCGGTAGATATCGGAGTGCCTGACGCAACTTACGTCGCAACCCATGTTGCAATGTCTGGCGCAATGGCACATCCACTGAGACAACCGACAAAGTGGTCCATTAAGGCATGCTCGCCACAACCTCCAGCGCAGCCTATGACGGAGTGGTGCGCTCTCTGAGGCAACCGACGATGTGATCGACTGCGGGTTGCCTTGCCTAACCTGCGTTCCAATTTTCACGCGTTGGGCCAGCCGTTCAATCAATTGAGGATGTTATAGATTGCGGGGTGTCTGGCGCAACTTGTTGCATAAACTGTGGCGCAACCTATGGAGGGTTCGGGGGTTCTAGGACCCCCCTCCGCGGCTTCGAACCATAGTTTCCAGAGGGCTCCGGAGAGGGAGGAGGAACACATACTATGGATGATGGTGATGGTGATGGTGATGGTGGTGGTGTTGTTGATGATGACGATGGTGATGTGCTGGCGGTGACGATAGTAAGTATGATGGTGATGGTGGCAATAATAACAGTAATAATAATGATGATGCTGATGCTGATAATGATGAATACGGTGGTGATGATGATGATGCTGATGGTAATGGTGATAATGATGGTGATTGTGATGATGATGTTGATGACGATGTGATGAAGATGCTGCTCATGATGCTAATGATGATGACGATAATGTTGATAATGACGATGACTGGTGCTGACGATGGTGATGGTGGTGATGCTGCTAATGATGCTGCTAATGTTGATGCCGCTGCTGATGATGATGGTTAATAAGATGGTGGTGATGATACTGATGATGATGATGATGATGATGGTGATGAAAATGAGGAGGCTGATTATGACGGTGATGATGATGATGATGATGTTGATGATGATGATGATGATGATGATGATGGTGATGTTGATGGTGATGATGATGATGATGGCGACTGTGATGTCGATGACCTCGATGACGATGATGCTGACGCCCATGGTGATGCTGATGTTGAAGGTGATGATGATCCTGCTACTGACGATGGTGATGATAATGATGACGGCCATGCTGATGATACGACGATGATGATGCTCACTTCTGAGTATGATGATGATGCATACGTTGAGGCGGTGATGATGCTGATGCTGGTGATGATGCTGATGATGCTGATGATGCTGACGATGCTGTTACGGGCGATGA